ACTCATCTGTTCCGATGAAAAACTGAAACAAACAAACAAAAAAAAGACGATTCTATCTTCTCCAAATGAACATCCATTCTCTTCCAACTGCATCGTAAACTTTCCAATCACTACTACCACTCAACTGATAATAGAGAAATCCAAATATAACAATTGCTCCAAATGAATTGCTCCTACCTTGTGGACGAAGGCTTCGCTTGCGGAGGCATAACACTCTCATCTGTTGGCAAATATGCCAAATAAATGGAATTCACTAAGCGATTGCCCAGCGACAACATCAATTTACGTTGTTCCAACTCAAACGAATCCATTGTCAGCGAACGAATCTTCGAGATTTGCACACCAAAACTCCGATGTATACCACAACATTCAATACATAATAACACCTCAAAAACAAACACTCAATTCAATTTATTTCTAATGTAATTCAACTAAAAATCTCATCGATTTCATAATGCGATATAAAGCGATAAATATCTTATGCAAAACCATTATATCTAAAGCGAAACAAAACCCGAAAACCACTCCATCAATGAATACAACTACATATTCATCCGTATTGGCTAATCAAACAACAACCCTACATTATTCAATTCCAATCGCTCCACTCCCTATTCAATTCTATCTATTAACTGATTGAATGAGTGCTAACAACTCACACCAATATTAATACTCGCCCATTTCGGCGCATCTGCACCGCAATCTGCACATTTATCATTTCCTGGAATTCTCCGTAATTCACTTAAAAATGAGCCCTTCTCTTTCGTTGATGTCGACGGTAATGATATATTCTGCTGCTGTTGCTGTTGATGCTGATTTTGTTGTGCAGAAGAGTGACTTTGATGTTTAACATGCTTATCACTAGTTGTTTTTGCCGTGTCCATGTTATTATCGTTACCATTCGCACTAGTGCCCTCACTTTCATCCGGATTATTCCAGTCACAATCAGCCAGAGTTGTTTGCAGCAAAGTTTTTGTCGATTCAATCACGCTATCGTCACTTTCGTGCAAATGGTGAATGGTACGTTGCAGGGCACGCATCCACGCGTTACACAACGTATCCGAGTCGGCTTGTAGCAAATGACTTCTGTAAATTTATTCGATCAACCCAAAAAGCTCCCTCTTGCTCAAACACATTCTTCTCCTTCTCCTCAACAAGTTTTTCATGTTTCTATCATCCGCACTTGAATTTTTATCAGAGATATTTCTTTTTTCCAAATCTTTACCAACAAAAAGTTCTACGTTTCCAAAATAAATTTCTTTCCAAATTCAATCTTCAAAATGATTCCAAGTGAACTGACAAATACATCTCTTTACTGTGCGTTCACGGCATTCTATCGCAATGATTTCAAATTGTCACGGAATATTTTTTATATGTTCGTTGCGATGAAAGCATTGCTGAGATAATAAAATTTGTGCAATTACTTTGTCGGTGTAACCAGTTCAAAACAGCACGCCCTTTCCACATTCGAAGGCGCCGGTCGAACCAAACACAACTTCAAATCCGGCTCCATTACAGTTGGGGTTTCTAACTCGGCTGATCGATGGGAATACAACTACAATTCGGCATCATATAAAACTTTTCACCTACTATATAGATCGATTCACCTCGAATCAAATCAAGTTACTATCAACAAATAAACAAAAATTAAAATTTGAGAGAAACCAAATGAAATTAAATTTGAGAGATCGAAAACGTTGCACATTGCAATGAAAAATATGTGATGTATAAGAGTGGATACAACAAGCACTGATATAAAAGAAACTCAACATATTAACTATTGACGATTACTAGTCAGCAATAATTTATTGATAGC